ACAGCTACCCCTCATTATCTCTACGTGGGTGGGAAGCCCTTCTCTGACCTCTTCGAGACCCCAGTGCCAGGAGAGGGTCTCTCCTCTCTCCTGGGATCTCCAGGTGCAGGGGCTGTGGGACCACAGCCAAAGGTTTTCCATTCAAGAATGCCCCTGGATGCCCAAACTCAACTAAAACCCGGGCCAGGCTCGTTGCAGGAAAGATCTCCAACTCTTCAGCCCCATCTAGAGTCCGACCGGGCTTAAGCTGGTCCCAGCAGCAGCTGACACTTTGCCCAGCTCAGAAGGGGCTTCTTCTCCTTCCCTGACCCACTGCTGGGACCTGGTGGCTTCTCCTCACTAACCCTGGAGCCACACAAGGGTCTCTGGAAAGCCATAGAGAGGGGGATGGAGAAGGTCAAAAGACGAGTCAGCAGCTCTACCCTGACCCAATATGGGGACAAGATGGGACAAGGCAGAGCCTCGCTCAAGCTCATGCTCCCGGATTGAGGAATAAGCTCTGTCGCTGCCAGACTCGCGAGTGTTGCGTATGTACCAGGATTGAGGTGCTGAGCGAGCACCCTACAAGAGAACAAGAGCCCTGATGTGCTCTTAGCCCAGGTCTCATGACCCTCCTGGATGTCTCCGTGAAATGAAAAGGACTTGTAGATGTTTGTCTCTCGGTGGGGCAGGACCCACACTCTGGGAAGTGCCGTGGGATCCTCGGACAGAACAGATCGCTGCACAACAAGCATTTTGGTTTCTTGGGGCTCTCTCACATCATCTCGTGCAGAAGAGTCCAGGGCCCCCCTTGTCTTGCCTTTGCCCATGAAACCCCCATCTTTTCCTCTCTTCCTGCTCCCTACGGTGATTACACAATACACATCCGATGGTCCTGCCAGGCAACCTGAACATCCTTCTCTCACCCTTTTTCTTGTCTCACAGCTCAGCACCCCAGTGCCAGCACCCACCACCCAGCCAGGAAACTGCAGATAAACTCCCAGCTCAGGGGAGAGCAGGACAGGAGGGTTCTTATCTCTGCCGAGCTTCCCTCCTCTTCGCTGCCTCGTTACCATGACAAAAGCTGCATTTTTTAAACACCAGGCAGACCTAGTTGATGTCATGGAGAAGCAACAAGAAGGGAGCAGTCACAGGGACCTGCAGATGGTGGCACGTTTTCAGTAGCTTCTCCCCAGCTGACATAGGAAGGTCCTCACGCTGTGGTTGGGGACAGAGGGACAGGGCAGGACCCAGCAGGATCTGAAGGAAGCGATTTTGGCTGTGGAACAGCTCTTGAGAAGAGAGGCAGCCCACAGCCTTCACTCCCTTAAAACCCTCCTGTGATCACGCGCCCATGTCCCTCTCACAAAGCAGAAGAAGAATCAGCGTAGGGACAGAGACAATAAAATCCCAGCCCACAAGTTCTGGCGGAGCTCTCTGCTCCCCAAGGAACCCAGTTGAGCTCTCCCCGTGCGGTAGACGAGGGCCAGAAACCACCAGCTCCAAGCTTCAGGGGTGCAGGGTGCTGGCAATGCTGAGCCACTCGTGCAATTCCTCCGGCCCTTGGCCAAGTGTCCTTCTCCAGATGGCTCCAGGGGCTCCTATCACACACAATCCCAGCAGCACAATCCAAACATGCCTGGAGCATCTTGTGGCTTCCCTACAGACATTCACTGCGGGGATAATAGGGAATCAAACTCATCCTGTAACCTTACAGCTAACGTGGACACTGTCCAAGCACTGCAGTCACCAAACACTCAGGACCTTCTCTGCTGGAGTTCAGGGCAAGGGATTCTTAATTGTAACTGGGACAATTAGCACAGTTGCAGCCCCAGAGGGGCCAGCCTGAGGCACAGCATGGAAGAGCCACTGCCAAAAGACCGAAACTCCAGAGTAACACAGGTGTTTGGAGCAGATGGCAAGGTACAGTCATCCCAAAATAGAGAATATGACCCCCCCCCAGTGCAGCCCAGAGACAAGAACATCTCCAGGAAGGCAGCTCACATCCTTGTTCCATCACTCCAGTTTCCTCCTGCAACCTCTACCTTTGCCAGCTAGGGCTGGCATGACTTCCTGGGTTGCACTTGGCCATTGACACAATTAAATGCCCTCAACATGAGTGAAATCCTACAGCCACCTCCGGGGCTGGGTGGCACATAGCACGGTGTCACAGGCAATAATGAGGCCATCAGAAGTGGGGAAAGGGAGATTAAAAACCACAGAGCCATGACTGTAACACTGGAGGGGAGGATAAAAGTCCTGTGTTTTTATAAGAAAAGACAGATGGACAACTGAGATGTCCCATATCCCTCAGCTCTGGATCATTTCATCCCAACCACATAAAGAATTCAAGTGGTTTGTCCTCTTGCAGTAGATCTAAGCAACGTGCCAGCTGGGCATGGAGTCCCAGCATCAGGAAACTGAAAACAAATATTTACTGAACTACTAAGTGCTCTTTCCACACTTGTGAACAGACACTTCTGTTTGCACTTCCTTGTACAAACAGAACAAAAGCCACAACCCTTTCGTG